GCCGTCCTGGGCGCTGGGATCCTCCCTGCTTCGCCCGGGGCGTGCGGGGGAGCCCGTGCGCTGGTCCTGCGGCCGCGTTTCCAGGGCTCCAGGAAAGTTCTTCAGGGCGAAATCACGTCTAGGGTGCCCTGGAACCTCCTCGGTTAGGATTAATTTTCCACATCCCGCAGTTTCTCAGTGTCTGTTAAAAGTGTACCTGAGGACGAGGCCAGTGGTTAGAAGACGCCCTCTAGCACTTTGGTTTGGTCCAGGAAGATCTGAAAGTGAATGTGGGAATCCCCCAGGTAAAGGGGAAAGGAAGGAACTGGATAGGAGTAGCTGGTGCAAAGGCTGAGCGTCAGGAAGAATGGGACAACTGCTTTTTTAAAATGGGGAGGGAAGCGGGTGAGACGAGCTAGAGCAATAATAAGCGGTAGCCAGACCGTAGCAGATTCCCTGAGAACTGACCCACTTTGGGGTTGTCTGTCTTTTGAATTTGAAGCCAGCTTTTAACATTTCCCTTAAATTAGCGGAATCGGCCTTGTATCGGTTCCATTTTGAAAAGCTAATTCAGCTGTGTTTTGATTTTGTAACAAAACCCCTCTGAACTTGGCTGAGGAGGCCCTGAAGAAAGGAAATTTGAGAGCTAGCATCCTCATGCCCATAAGGGTATGTAAGTCCACACGTGGGATAATGCAGATTGATAGAGGAGAAAAGCCCTCAGTTGATTTAGGATGGATGCTTTGGGTATTTTTAAATACCATTCTTACCTAGCTAGGCATAATGGGTGAACCGAAACGATAGGGCAAAAGGAAGTGTGGTGATTAAAGAAAGGGTAAAGTCAAGAGGAAAAAAATACACACTACAGACTGTCTTAGAATTTTTATGCTTTTTGTTATTAAGTCCATGCTGGAAAGGCTCTTTCTGAGTAAGGATGACTGTCATTGCTTCAGATCTTCAGAGTTAGACAAAACATTTGTAGCTTTCAAAGCTATTAGTGACCACTGTTAACTTTTTAAATTGTCACATAATTTAAAAAACATTTTTTAATTTAAAAAATCTAAAAAACAAGTCACATAAAATTTGCCATTTTAAAATACACAATCCAGTGGCTTTTTTAGTGTCATTTTTATTTTGTGCACACGCCATTTTTGTGAATCTAATTCTAATTCACCCCCAAATGAAACCCCATACCTATTATCAGTCAGTCCACTCGTAATGCTTTAGTATTTTTGGCCTCGTGTAGTTATAAAAGTTAAGCTGTTGTTAAGGAATGTAAGTAGAATGATTTGGAGCCGTTGACTCTTTTTTTAATTGAGTTTATTGGTACATTCTAGGTATACAGTACAGTTACATTCATTACTGGGATCCTGTACCTTTACATGACAGGTCTTGGTTCTCATTTTTTCCCCTTGTCCCTGCCCTCCCTTCCTCCGCTGTATTAACTTTTGAACAATGTATACTTTTATACCAATTTCAATTCCTATTAAAGAAATATCTTCGCAGTCCATGAGGTTTAGAGTTTCACCCCAGTGTGACTGTGTAACTGGAACTCCACGTGGATAAGGATCAATATTTTGTGCCTATCAAGCTTGTTATGCATCAAAGAAAGTTAAAGGCAGAAGTGTCATGGGACAAAGGAAAGTGAAGACAATACTAAGTGCATGTCTCCTTGTTACTGAGTGCCAGAAGTGCTTCCTTTCCCTCTTCTCCCTTTTCTTTTCTCCACTTTCTCAATGCAGAATTATAAATACACTTCCTTTTTTTATTTTTATTTTTGGTACTGGGGATCGAACTTGGGTCCTTGTGCTTGTGAGGCAGGCAGCAGAACCCCTGAGCTAAATCCCGGCCCCAATACACTTCCTTTTAAGAAATTCCTCTTGCTGAGTTCCCACTTTTATAATAGAGCCATTGAAGAATTAGCTATATTATGAAAGGCTTCTTTACTAAATGTATGTTTAACTACCACCACGTCCCACACTTAGTTATTTGTGTGCTAGGTGACGGGAGAAGGAAGAAATAATGTTGACAAAGTTGTGATGCATTACAGATACTTGAAAACAGTGCTTGCTTCAGCAGCATATATTCTAAATTTGGAATGATACAGATATTTGAAGATATAGATTTGGTCAGAAACTATTTTTAAAAATAAGTTGATCTCACCCCAGAAAGAATGGCTGCTATCAAGAAATCAGCCAATACCAAATGTTGGCAGGGTTGTGGAGAGAAAGGGACCCTTCTCCATCATTGGTGGGAGTGCAGACTGGTGAAACCACTGTGGAAATCAATATGGAGATACCTCAGAGAACTAGGATTAGAGGCTCCATTCGACCCAGCTCTCCTTCTGCTGGGTATCTTTCCAAAAGAATTAAAGGAATCATATCACAGTGAAATATGTGCACCCATGTTTACAGCAGCACAGTTGGTAATAGCTAAAACTTGGAAACAGCCCAATTGCCCATCAATTGGAGACTGGATAAAGAAGATGTGGTTTTTCTATAAAATGGAGCACTACTCAGCCATAAAGAATGAGAAACTAGAGTCATTCATAGGAAAATGGATACATATTGAGGCCATACTCTTAAGGGAAATAAATAAGACACACGTGTAAATACTAAAAGTGTAAATAAGATCCAAATTGTATAACTGATAATGTGAAATAGGAAGAAAAGGACTAATGGTGAAGGGGAAGTGGGTAGGGTAGGGGAAAGGTAATAAGGGAAAAGAAAAAATATTGAAAACAGGAAAAAATGGAAACAAAGCCTTTGTAAACAGGGAAGGGTGGAGGGGGTGAAGGGAGGCCAGGGGTATGGGGAAAAAATGAGACCTAAGACCTGTCGTGTAAAGGTATAACATCCCAACAATGAATGTAACTGTACTGTATACTAACAAGTACCAATAAACTCAATGAAAAAAAAATAAGTTGATAAGAAAAATTCAAATGAAAAACATTTACTTTACATTTGACTAATTAGACATGCATCTCACACATAAAGGAGACCTGCTACTATACTTTTATACACTTTTAAAATGGGAAAAAAACATATTAACTAAAATGCAAATGAACTGTTTTGAGTAATGATTATAGAAAAAGATTAATTCAACAGATACTTCTTGAGTATCTTCTATATCACAGATGCTGTCCTTGCTGGTGAAGGTAGAATGATGACATGAAATAGATACTTTCTATCGGAAAGCTTAAACACACAGTGGGGAAGAGAATCATTTGACAGATAATTCTATAAAAGCAACGTGAAACTGCAACTTTGGTAACTGAAAAGGTTAGAGAAGGTGCTGTGCCCTTCGGGAGACTACATTTGAAGAATCTGACTTGGTGCAGGAGAATCTGAAAGATGAGGAAGAATTCAGTAGGCAAAAGAAAGGGAAGAGTGGAAGGAGAATACGAAGTGTTGAAAGAACCTTTAAGCAGTAATGGGACACGTGGTAAGAGGGAGAGGGGCTGAGGCAGAGGATGCAAGGCTGAAGTGAGATGATGCTAGAGAAATCGGTACGGCAGATAACTGGAGCCTTATAGGTTAGGAGGCTGTTGACAGTTTCGAGTAGTAGAACTGATCAGGACCCCCCCCCCTTCTTTTGATCTCAGAATGAACCCAGAACCTTCCCATTGAGCTATATCCTCAGTCCTTTTTTTAAATTTTGAGATAGGGTCTCACTAAATTGCCCAGGCTAGGCTTGAACTTTCAGTCTTTCTGTCTCAGATGCACAAGTGCTGAGATTACAGGAGTGGTGCCTCTAGGACCAGCCTCAGATTTGTATTTTGAAGAGATCACCCCAACTGTGATAGAGGGAGGGTAGGTTAAACAGGATAAGAGTAGGTATAGAGACCTTATCAGATGTGATTCCAGTTGTCTAGGAGAAAGGTGGAGGGGAATGGAGTGATCTGAAGAGAAAAGTGTGTTATTTGTATAAGGATAGTCTTTGAAACTATGAGTGGGTGGAATGCTAGGGAAAATTTTTACAATGAGGAAACTTAGAACTGATCCTGAAGTGAGGGCAACAGGTTTAGAATCATTGACTCTATTACGAATACATTGGCCTATAAGTTTCATTTTTTGTCAGGTGTTGGCATCAGGGTTACGATGGTTCCTAAATGAAATGGGAAGTTGTTTCCTCTTCTGTTCTCTGAAAGGGTTGTTATAAGGTGAGACTTTTGTTTTGTTTTTGTTTGTTTGTTTGTGGGCTTTGGTAGTAAGATCATTTGTATTTAGATTTTTTTTGTGGGAAATTTTGAATAATGAACTTAATTAGTAAATAAAAGAATATTCAGATTTTAAATTTGTGTCAGTTTGCTGAGTTTTTTTTTTAAAGAAATTTGCTCAGTTTCTCTTTTTTTTGTCAGACGTACTGGCATATATAACCTAATCATCTGTAATCATCATTTCAGATCCATGGGACCTATAGAGATGTCCCCTTTTATTCTTGATATTGCTCATTTGTATATTCTTGCCTTTTGCCTTGGTCAATCTTGCTAGGGGTTTATAAATTTTTGTTATTCTTTTGGGGGGGGGAAAACCCCAATTCCTGGCTTTATTTTCTGTAGTGTATGTCTGCCTTTCCACTTCATTGATTTCTGCTCTGTATTATTTCCTTCTTTCTCCTTCTTTAGAAGCTGTGATTTTTGTGATTTCTTTTGAGGTTTTACAGATAAAATCTTAGATCGTTGATATTTCAGTTACACCTCTTTTGTAACATGAGGCTTTAGGGTTATACACTTCCATTAAACTAGTTTCTCCACAAGTTTTTGTCCCTTAAATTAAAATGCTTTTTGATTGTTTCTTTGTGCATGTGGTTTAATTAGAAGTGTATTTTGTAACTTCCATACTCAAGGAGATTCCCTACTTATTTGTTATTGACAGGCAATATAGGAGCACAGTGATTAAGATCATTGATAAGGACATAACTGTTATGTATTGCAAACATAAGCTAATAAAAAAAATCACTGACAGGGAACCAAACTGCCTGGTTTTATATCTCTGTTGTATGATCTTGAACAAATATTATGCTAAAAATTGGGATAATAATAACAATAATATCTATAACAGCATTGTTTTGAGGATTAGCATAACAAATATTTGTAAAGTAATTTGACCAACACCTGGCTCATAATAGGTACTATGTATATTTGACAAAATTTTTAAAAAGGATGTTAGCTTGTATAGTGGTCCCAAAAAATGGTTGGTATAGTTTTGGGTTTTTTTGTTTTTTGTTTTTTTCTGATTTTGGTTTTTTAAGATTGCTTTTTAGATTTGTTTTGTAGTTCAGTACTTGATTATTTTAACAAATGTTCTGTGTGTGCCCAAAATGAATCTGCTTTCTGTAGTTTGGGTTCAGTTAGGTGTCTTGTTCTAGTAAGATCAATATATTATGAAAAGTTTGCCAGCCATGACTGGTGACACAGGCCTGTAATCCCAGCACTCTGGGAGGCTGAGGCAGGAGGATCAAAAGTTTGAGCCAACCTTGGGCAATTTAGCAAGAAGCAGTCTTAAAGTAAGGTGGGAGAGGAGTAGGGCTGGGGATATAGCACAAAGCAAAGGCCTTGGGTTCAGTCCCCCATACTGGGGGAAAAAATGCTGACAAATGGTAGTGTCTCATTCTACCCGTTTTTGTTTTGTTTTGCTTTTTCTTCCCTGGCTTTATGTTAAACTAGATAGAGCCAACCAAGTCATTATTTATCCCTCCTCGAGGTCCTGGGGACCACAGGGCTCCCTCCTAACCATGGTTTTCTTGCTTGAAGCTCCCTCTTGCCTTCCACCTCTGCCTGAGTCCATGTTCTCATCCCCACATCTATCATAAGTTCTTTGAGGCCCTTGCATGCCCATAAATTCATGCCAGGATGGACCAGACACGATCCAGGCTGTTTGGTCCAGCAGAAGAGAATACAAGTGAATCCACTGTGGATAAAACCTGAAAGGACCTAAGGCAAGAGAAGCAACCTTCTATGGAGGGAGTCATTTCAAGACTTCAGGAGGCAGAGGAAGGCAAAACTGAGGCCTGAATTAGTGCCTTGGAAACCAAGTGACCCAGTTTAGGGGAACTTCAGACACTGAGCCTGGCCACATAGTGGTTTGTAAAGCACCTTTTAAAGATTTGAATAACATAGCCAGACAACATAACTGGCAACATTGCAGAGCAGCTGGTTATGTCTGCTCATTTATAAGAAAACGAGCAAGTCAGGTGTGGTGGCACATACCTGTAGTCCCAGCTGCTGGGGAGGCTGAGACAGGAGGATCATTTGGTCTACAAGTTCCAGACCAGCCTGGGCAACGTAATGAGATCCTGTCTAATTAAAAAAAAAAAAAAGCAAAAATGAAAACACCAGTGTAAGCGTCATCACTTGGTCCCAGGATGGGTTGCAGTGGGAGTTGCTGTGTTTGGGGCTCAGACAATCGGGAAGCTACCTCTTGTGTGTCTGCCAGGCAGTGCATTCGCTCAGATTAAGGTCCTGCTACTCCTAGCACCCACGTGTGTTTGTGCTTGTCCCCACACAGGGAAAATCTTCATGCTGGACTCTCAGAACGCCTCTCAGGGCCTGGACCTGGAGGCGGCTCGGCTCTCCTGTAAGAGCAGGGGCGCCCACCTGGTGTCTGCGGACGAGCTGCGCAGGGGGGTCCAGGACTGTGCCCTTGCAGTGTGCACCACGGGCTGGCTGGCAGATGGCACCCTTGGGTAAGTCTTGACAGCCGGGTGTGTCCTTTCCAGCTCCCCCCAGTCCCCACCAGGGGACTTTACCAGGGTAGGTAAAGTGCAGTGAACAGGGGCTTTCAGCACATTCGTGTTTAGCCACCAATTCTTGCATGCCACTCCCAAGAGGGATGCTCTGTGTCTTCCTGCGCACAGCACAGCATGGTCCTGCTGTAGAATATGTAAGAGTGACACTAGGTGACTTCTAAGTTAGGTGAAAAAGCAATGCAGCTTCCTGAGTCTGCGAGACGTTTACCTTTGCAGACTTGAGCTGCTGTGTGAAGTCTAAGTGTCTGAGATGGCTATGCTGTAAGGAAGGCCAGGCCACATGGAAGGGAGCCTCACATAGGGGCCCCTGCCAGCAGCTCCAAGCAGTGTCCCAGCCAAAAGCTAGAATAAGCTGCCAGAAATGTGATCAGAGATGCTCCCAGATGATTTTAGCCCCACACTTGACTTACTGTCGGCCTGTGAGTCTTCCTAGCTCCAACTCTGGACATGACAAACTGGGCCAACCCATTCCCCCCATGCCCTGTCTGTGTCCCTGACCCATGGAAGACTTGAGAGTATTCTGTGGACAGTTGGGAGAAAACTTCCCAGTAGTGTTGTGCCTACTCTTCAGTTATTCTCAGAGAAGGCAGGAGCTGTTCTACTTTCTCCTTCGTGCTAAGGGATTGGGAAAGAACAGAATAGTTTCCAAGAGCTGCTTTGGTTGATGATGACCCTGGCCTGGATTGCAGGCGGCCATGGAAGATACACAGCCCTGCCCACTGATGCCTCCAAATGTATGATGTGTGAGGCTGCATCTGAGTGAAGAGGACAACTGAGGGCTCTAGCCAGAGGTTTTCATTGAATCTGGAGCTATGGTCCTCTCTGCCTTACATTTTATATCCATAATGTAGCCATGTAGGAATATCTTTCATAACTCCATTCTTGTAGTTTCCTCATGTCATCAGGGTATTTAGAGGTCCTGAAAAGCCATCCCGAGACTAGGTTGTAAGTCATTCATTATAAGACTGGAAAGGTCTGTCTTTTGTGAGTTTGCTGTAAATCATGGTGGAGGGTCTCTGTCTGTTAAGATGATTCTTCTCTAAAAGACAATCATGCATGTACTGTATTACTGTACAACACATTAAAATGTATTTTATCCTCCCATTCTATTTCTGGAACCAGGAAGTATCTGACCATTAGCATGTACACTTCACTGTGGCTCCCCAACCACACACACTGGAAAGCAATTATTAAGTCTCTGGTGCATCTTATAGTTATGACATAATAGATACATAGCAGAACTGACCTGTGTCCCAATGAATTTATGTTGAATGTATACATAAATCCAGAGAAGAATGTAGATCCGGAATGATGAATTCAGAGTTTGCGGCCACCAGTTTCCTGGGAGCATTTGCGTATTCCATAAAAGTGTCTGAAAAGCTGAGTGACAGACTCAAGGGACTAGAATTGAGATTTGAATTCAACTGCTGCACAGGAGGGGACCTGGTAAACCTTTGTGCTTTGGGTTTGCACCTTGCTGAGCTGTTCTCCAGAAGTAAGAGGTAACTGGCCACGGGCCCTCCTAGGAGCAGTAGCAAGCCATCAAATCTTCTGAAGCCTTAAATTTGGATGGAAGTGACTATGGACTCCTGTTCCAGGGCTCTGAATGTCTAGAATAATCAATGCAGATTCTCTTTTGAGAAAAATAATATCATGCAATGCTTCTATTTATTTCAATAAGCAGTTTAGTCACTGTAGAACTTCTCACACAATGCAAAATAACTAGTCTTATGAGGAGACCAGGCAAAAAACAAACAAAAAAACAGAATTCAGGAGAAGCAATAACTAATAGAAGTTACAGATATTAACATTGGTAGATGCAGATTTTAACTACCTTTAAAATCTTTAACTAAACCAGGGGTGGTGATGCATATCTGTAATCCCAGCATTTGAGAGGCTGAGGCAGGAGGATTGCCATGAGTTCGAGGCCAGCCTAGGCTACATGTTGAGTTCAGGGCCAGCCTAGAATTCATGGTGAGATCCTATCTCAAAACAGACAAATCAACCAACCAACAGACAAACATTTTCAAAGATAAAAAGCAAGAAGTTTGGCAGAGGATGTGGATCTACTAAAAACAACCAAATGGAAACTCTAGAAGTGAAAAACCACAATAACTAAAATTAAGAACTTGATGGATTTAAGAGCCAGGACAGCAGATTGAAGTACAGAAGAAGCCAGGAATAGTGGCACATGCCTGTAATCCCAACATTCTGGGAGGTGGAGGTGGGAGGATATCAAGTTCAAGCACATCCTGGGTAATTTAGCGAGTTAGTGAGAACTTGTCTGAAAATTTTTAAAAGGGCTAGGGCTGTAGCTCAGTGCAAAGGCCTTAGGTTAATTCCCCAGTATAAGAAGAAGAAGAAGAAAAAAAGCAAACAGATTATTAGTGAGTTGGAAGATATTTCACAGGGAGATATCCAGAATAAGTAACAGAGGGGGGAAATGAAAAGTTTAGAGGGAAGGGGTAAAAGACAAAGGAGATGCATGTAATTAAAATTCTAAAAGGAGAAAAAAAAAAGTGGACAGAACCATGCCTGCTCCCGACCCAGCCGCCATCGCTCAAGCGCCGGGAAGGTAGCCGTGCGGGCGCCCCTGAACCCCCTTAATCCCCCCCCAACTCTCAGACCTCCTGACTGTGCAAGTCTTTGGACCCACTCTGCAAAGACAGAGGTGGTCATCAAGGGTATTTTTCTGAGTTCCCAACTTTGAACCTCTTTAAAGAAAGGGCGGGGAAACCTGTAATAAAACGTTGCGGAGTTCAACCATTCAGAAGGATGGGGAACTCAATCTGGGCCTTGCGGCCCGAGGTCAGTCATCGTCATGGGGTTCAGCAATCAGCTAACTGAGATTAGGGGTCTTCCATCCTCGCTCTGTCTGAGCCATTAAATGGTTAATATACTATAATGAAAAGTGTGTTCACTGCAGACATGTTCTGGACTGCTTCTTGATTTCAATTTAATTCAAATGATTTAAGGGTGATAGACTAGTGACTACCACAGGTGGTCAGTGTCCAAGTTGTGCTTGATCTTAATGTGTTGCTGATTGTATCAGTTGGGGTATAGCATTGCCGTTGATTTGATGAGCTGTTTTCTCTGATGTTATGAAGATGAGAATGTCCGTGGGTCGTTAGAGACACAGAAGCTAGGGTGCAACTATATCAGGAAGATTTGGG